TTCCTTCCGGGTCTTCTCACAGATTCTCCTCCCTGATGGTCTATAAGTTGCCAGTAGAGGATGTGCGACCTTTATCTCAAGCTTTCTTCAAACTGGAGATGGGTAAGAGTGACTGACTGGATTGAAATAAAACTAGGGTAATCAGATGAATTAAGACCTTGAATAAAACATGAACATGATAAGTAGAAGACCAGCCTTGTGAGATTTTACAATAAATTAATAACGAAGACCTCTAATTCTGCAGTCCTCAGCCACAGATGATTGGCAATGTCTACAAATATTTTTGGTTGTCGCAACTCCTGATGGTGGGAATGGGGGGTGGGGTACACTGGCGTTTAGAGGGCAGAGTCCAAGGATGCGGCTAAACATCCTGCACTGCACAGGTCAACCCTCCACAATCAAGAATGATCCAACTGCAAAGGTCAGTAGGGCTTTTCAAAGCCTGTTATAACTGGATGAGGCTCTGGAAAGAAAACAAAACACTGGCATTTGAGGTATTGAATATTTATTCATTCATAGAAACACACACAAAAAAATATACAGGCAGCCTCCCAGTTGCCAACAAGATCCATTCCTAAGTGGGTCTTTAAATCACATCTATAGGTAGCTTGGAACAGGTTCATATGGTTCTTATTTATACTTGCTTTAGTGCAAGAAAAGACTTGAAACATGGAAACTTATGATTTCAAAGCTGCGCATGCAGCAAGGGAAGGTGATAGTGATGAAGAATTTGTTGTGCATAGGGGTTGATTCCTCAGAGGGAGAAAGATGAGGTTTTCTACTCCCAAAAAGATTTACAGCCTCAGAAACCCTATACCAGGGTGCTATGAGTCAGACCTGACTTAGTGGCACACGGTTGGTTCAATCATTTCAATTGAGGGTCAATTTACATAACATTAAAGGACAAGTAGGAGTTGTCCAGAAGTCTGACTTTCTTAATCCAAGAACTTACTGTAAATTTGTTATTGCTATGCACTTTTCATAGCATTAGGCAGTTGGTAAGGTGGTTCCTCTCTGTTCAGGTGGGCTTAGCCATCACTCTTTGTAGGCGCTTAGATTTTGATCTTGGAGCACTGCATTGATCATGGGCTTGCTTTTCACAGTAAGGTGTGAACATGGGTGAGCTGAGTGTCCA